TATAGCTACTTGAAGGAAAACTTATGGAAAACTTAGTGTTGTATTTTTAATCCTTAGTTATAAACACAAAAATTTTTATGATTTTTAACTTTAAAATTACTTGCAAATTTTCACGTTTTCGACAGATTTCGTAAAAATTTGAACTATAAACGCTTATAAAAAAAATTGTGACTGACTAACGATTTTTAATTTTTTTAGCTACAATAAGAACAACTCATAAGGAACCTTGTATTAAATTTTCAAGTTTTTTTGGTCATCTAATATTTTTTTACAGACACTTCAAAAAAAAATTCTCATAAAAATCGAAAATTTCAGTGGTCTATAAATATCTCAAAAAAAGTCAAACAATTTTGAAAATTATACTGTATATAGATAACACTAACATAAACATTTGGTGAAAATTTAAAGTATTTACAGTGATTAGTTTTTGAATTACAACCATATAAAAAAATCGATTTGGTCGAAAACTGGTTTTGCGTAAAAATTCCTGTTTTTCTGTAATTTTTTTTTCTTTTTCTCGATTTTTTTGAAAACTGTTGGAAAATGTTAACTTTTGACCTCTATAATGCACCAACGATATTCACTTTTACATCCGAAACCACCCCCAAAGTTTGAAATCGAAGCATTATTTCGTCTAGTTATGCTGTACACAGACACAAAAAAAAAAAACACATATCATTGTAAAATCAATACATTCATCACTTCGTTCAGAATCTAAAAATCGGAAATTCTCAATAATTTTTTTAATATCTAGGAAAAACCCACAAAACACAGCAGGAAAATGGAAAGGTACATAACATATTATTGTATTTACACAACACCAGTTTTCGACACCATCAATTTTTTTTTTTTAATCTAATTGTTCTATTAAATAAAGGAGCAATCGTAGAGGTTTCAAATATTAGCATTTTCTAGGTTAGTTAACTCTTAGCAGACATTTAAAATTTCTACTTTTAATCGTTTAATTGTAAACTCTAGCCAATTTAGTTGATAAAATTTTCCTTGTATTTGTAAATATTTTTATACTGTGTTATTACAACTGTGGTATAGCCGGTACAGGTATAAGTATAGATTTAATATAAAATTTTATTGAGATCCAAAATATTGGTTTTAGTTATTCTCTTATAACTCAAGTAATTTTGCGCAATTCAGATGAAAAACTTCCTGTTAGTATTATTATGAATAATATGATAATATTCCGAATTTTTTTATCTAATGAAACTAGTCGATTTATTTTTTCACTGACATTTTTTGGATGTGTTTTTTCCGCGATGATACGTGATTTATAACATGTTATTTAAGTTATGATTATTGATAGCTATGATCACTCACAAAA